CACACACACACACACATATATATATATATATATATATATATATATATATATATATGATATAATAATATACTGTATTCTGTTTGTCAATAGAGTCAGTTGGTGTCGTGGGAAGCTCTGATGTCCTCTTGCTGCTTCATGGTTTTCCTACTTCAAGCTATGACTGGTATAAGGTAAGTCGTTTTGTGGTGTAAAACTGCATTAACATTTCAATAAAACAGCAATAAACCGAGAGCAATTTATAGGCAGTGACTGGACACTGTGGTGTTTCTTGAATCTCATTCTGTTGTTTTGAAGATCTGGGATTCTCTGACGCAACGTTTTAACAGAGTCATCGCCCTCGACTTCCTTGGCTTTGGTTTTTCAGACAAACCGGTGAGATAAAAGACATGAGTCACAACCAGAGCCGATCTTCCCTATACGCAAAGTACGCAAGCTGCGTAGGGCCCCCGAAACACCAGGGGGCCCCCTTGCTCTCAAAGATGATTTAATTTTAGTTTCGTTTTTGAATTTGGCCAGCGGTTATGAAAACATGAATGTTAATTACTTTTAATGTGGTTCGCTGTCGCCCTTTTTACATAAAAATCAGTCAAATCATGTAACATCAATGTCATACAGTCTCTTGCTCGAGACAAAAAAAAAGAGTGGAAAGCATACCGGGCCGCGGAAGAGACACTGTTTCTCAAGCGCTTTCCGTGAGCGCGATTTGATATGGCGTGAAACATGGACAAATGCATTTCATTCATTAATTTCTCGTACACCCCGTACAGGATCGGCTCTGGTCACAACTACTGTTTTTTATAAAAATAATGTCTTTTATTATCCGTAATTTGAATAATTAATTCTACCTAACAAAATCCAGCGACTGCACCGTTACTCCATCTTCGAGCAGGCCAGTGTGGTGGAGGCCCTGGTTGCTCATTTGGGTCTGTCAGAGCAGAGGATCAACATCCTGTCACATGACTATGGAGACACTGTAGCTCTCGAGTTACTGTACAGGTGAGTCCTAAGGATCCTTAAAAGTTTCTCGGCATAATTTAGCTTAATGTTCCTGTCTATATGATCTGGGTGGTTCTCACGTGCAGTTAAACACACAGGAATGACCATAACAGAAGTGGACACATCACGATAAACAGCCTCTGCCTCTCAAATGGAGGTACATTAGAGTTTTATTCAGTCAGAAAATTAGAATATATATTCTTAAAGTCTGAATGGAGATTCAAAACTTTGTCCATTTTGTTTTTTTAACTTAAAAGGAATATTTCCAGAGACTCATTATCCAAGATTCGTTCAGAAAGTGAGTGTGACACTTAAAAAACAAGTTTGTATTCATTTTTAAATATGAGAAGTGAATATTTCCAATCTTTGGTCATCTGTAGGTGCTGAAGGACTCTGGTTTCATTTCACCTGTACTTACCCGCCTAATAAACTTCCAGCTTTTCTCTAGAGGGTGAGTGGAGCGTCCAGAATGAAAGTGGTGTTTACTTTTATGCTCTCTAATTCACAGTTCAAACTATTTGTTGTACTTTACACATATAATTATAAATCATTTACTTAAATCATGCTAGCTGTGACCTAAAGCCTTCAATTGTAAATATTATATATTTATCCTACAGAATAAGGGATGTGTTTGGACCGTACACCCAGCCAACAGAAGCCGAGTTCTGGGACATGTGGACAGGAATTCGCTTTAACGATGGAAATCTGGTCATAGACAGGTGTCCAAACTTCTCCATGTGTTGCACTTGCAATGCTTTGCTTTTAATAATAACCGTCACCAACTATCATTTGTTATTATCGTGTCTTGCCCAGTATCCTGCAGTACATTAACCAGAGGCTGAAACACAGAGAGAGATGGGTCGGGGCTCTAACCTCCACTTCAACACCATGTGAGTACACACACCATTCATACTGTGGTACGAAGTGCTGGTCATGCTACAAGAATGAGGTGTGCGAATACTTAAAAACTCGGCCATGGGCAGTGCTATTGAGGCTAAGTAGTTTAATCCAATGAAAATCACTGCGGAAGCTGCTTAGGCCATCTGCAGGTGATAGTATATATTAAGTAAACATTTACATAGTTGAATGCATTAGTGTGGTGTACAACATGTACACTATATTATACAAGCAGTAGTGCAGCAGGACAAGCATGTTAACACTCATACTGTAGGACAGGAGGGTTGGATTTTGTTTTTTATAAATAGGTTTGTGGTTTGGAAGATAATTAGTTGGTAAATCACTTTAGGATGTGTAATGGGGCTGTACAACATCCTTAACATTTGTACTTTGCAAATGTCACTGATTTATCACTTTTTTTTTTTTTTACTTTGTAGTGCACATGATTTATGGACCACTAGATCCAGTTAATCCACATCCAGAGTTCATCCAGCTCTACCAGTAAGTATATATGTCAGTTGAGATTTATTAACTCTGTTTACACTAACGTTATTAATATCGCTGGTAAAGTAATTTTTTTAAATGTGCATGTTGTTTAATCATTGCAACAACAAAAAAAGGTGTCATTATACCTGTGAGATGGTGTTGGCACAGTGGTAAGACATCATGGTACAAGACTTGGTTTCTACATGAGAGCCATGGGTTCAAATCTCGGGTGTTTTATTAATTTCAAAATTGGATAACAATTTTTTTAAAAACATTTGCTGAATCTTCACACCTCATATCATTGACATTTCCTCAGAGTCTTTTTGTTGGTTGATTTCAATCCCGATTAATTTCAAAATTGGATAACAATTTTTTTAAAAACATTTGCTGCATCTTCACACCTCATATCATTGACATTTCCTCAGAGTCTTTTTGTTGGTTGATTTCAATCCCGACACACTGAGGTGGGATTTGAACCCAAGCCTCCATTGCAGCCTTGTCCACAAACAACATGTTTAACCACTGCACCATCATGGCTCTCATGTTAAATGTGGCAGTCTGGGATGGTTTCTTGTATGTACTGACAGCAATTTAAAGTCTCCGAGATAAAAACACAACACTTTATCTCCTGAGCCACTGAAACAGTTTGAGTATTGTGGATTAGTTTTGGATGGAGTGCTTTGTTTTATATAAAATTTAAAATTAACTCAGGACTCTGGGTACAAAACACAATTCTTTATCACTTGAGACTCTGAGATTGGAAGATTCTTGTCTGTTTTTGGAGAAAGACACATGGAGAAATAAATGTAGTAAAGAAATAGATTTGAACATAGTCTTTCTAGTAAAAACGGCGGTGATTTATCCTCTGAGCCAGTTTGTGGTTATGTAGAATTGAGTTTTAGCATTGGTTTTAAACTTTATTTTTTGTGCATAAATATCATGAAAGATCATTGTTACTCCTGACATTCAAGAAGTTTCTAATCTAGCTCCTCATGAACTGAATCCTTTTGAGTTAAAAGCACAGTAATTACCCACTACCTCTCCTAACCCCCAAGGTCTTGGAGTCTCTACTAACGAGCTGATGATTTGAATTAGGTGTGTTTGATTAGGAAGAGTTTAAAAATGTGCATTGTTGGTGTACTTTTGGGAGCAGGGTTGGGAAGCACTGCACTACACTATCTGTGCCTTTAAAAGGGTTAGTCCTTTGTAAGTAAAACTGGTGATTTCAAGTTGGAACTAATCATATAAATAAAGATGACACAGCTAAGATGTGACAAAGAGCAAAGACAGAACAAGCTATTGCTGTAGATAATCTGGGAACTATAACACTGGAAATATTTTAACCACTTTTCCTGGTCTCTTTTCCTCATTTACAGGAAACTAGTGCAGAGATCCACAGTATCAGTTCTAGATGAGCATGTGAGTCATTATCCACAGCTGGAGGATCCCACAGGCTTCTTTAATGCCTACCTCAGCTTTATCAACTCATTCTGAGATGAGTAATGAGAGGAATATTGCCTCAAATAAGTCATTAGAAAATATTGCAATCTGTTTATTACCAAACCGCAGAGTATGTGAAATGTCAGTCGTGTTTAAATGCATGAAACTGAAAGTATTGCGCCAAAGTCATTACAACAGTCAATAAGTTTGCTCAAATACAATGCAATGCAAACTTGTAAATATGTTTGTGTTCTAAGCATGAATGCTTTTATTCAAATGAAAAGATCTTTGTATGAATTGTCTCCGGTTTTGTGTAGAAAAAAAACAGTAAAACAAGTTTTGTACTCTTGCAGACTGTTTTATTGATAAATGAAAAGGTTTGTAGTAAAGGACTGTTTCCCCTGAGCTGTGACACAAGGCCAAAACAGCTCAAATACCAGAGAAACAATGTTTAGATCTGTTCCACATGAATTAAAGTGCCACAATATTTTAGAAATCTCTCCGAACAGAACAGACCAAATAAAAAAAAGAGGATGTTTCAGACGCAGAGGATTCATGGCAAGCTTAAACCACAAGATGGTTGTGAGAAACATAGAGCTACTGTATAGCTATACATATAAAAGCACAACGACCCAGATTGATTGGCATGTGACCAGGTCACTCAAACATTACTCGTTTAGCCGACAGAAGCCAGGATGACGTCGACCACATTCTCATCTGTGCTCCTAACAGTCACCTGCATAGTGACCCCATCAGCCAGAGCCAGACGTGACCTCACCAATACATCATGACCTCCCCTAAACACACCTTCAGAAAGACAAGATCATTAACCTCATCGCTCATGTTAGAAAATTGATATCCAATACACATTTCAGGAACTCGAATTCTCTTAAAACAGAAAAACTGGAGGGATGAAATGAGTACATACCTGCTAGGAACAGAACATGCGAGTTCTTGTTTTCAGGAACTTTGTCTGAGCGTTCGCAAGGCTGCATGCCCAAGAAGCTGATAATGTTATTTACTGCCTCTGTGAAGACAAACACGATAAAGAGATGATCATTTCACATTCTGTCCAGCCACAAAACTCTTCCTGTTATAATCAAACACCTTTATTGGTTATTATTGATGGCCATGAGGATATTGAAAAGGATTTGTAAAGGAATAGTTCACCCAAATATGAAAAACTGGTGATGGGGGATGGACTGAGGAACCATTATTATGGATTATAGACTCACTTTGACCAGAAGCAATGGTTTAAAATGAAAAAGCTTTGATGTATTTGTTTCTTACAAACATGCAGCTTTTAACTTAGAAATATGTTAATTGATGGAATGGAGTCATGTGCATTATTGTGATGCTTTTATCAGCCGTTTAAACTTTCATTCTGACGGCACCCGTTCTCTGCAGAGGATCCATTGGTGAGCAAGTGATGTAATGCTAAATTTCCAATGAAGAAAAACTCATCTACATTTTGGAAGGCCTGAGGGCGAGTACATTTTTCAGCAAATTTTCATTTTGAGGTGAACCTTTCCTTTAAGCAAACTTACCATCTAAAGTTCTGACTGTGGCCAAAGCAAACGTCTCTTCCTTCTCATTCTCGTCTCCGATCTCCTCCCACGCTGCACCAAAGTTTGGTTTTAACACCTTCTGTATGTGGTCAGCGACTGTCACCTCTAAATCTTCCAGCTGGGAGGGAAACAAGACATTGAGTGAGGAATGGCCACTGATAAACTCCCCATTTTCATCAGTATGAACTGATTTTGAAAATTCACATACCACATATTCATCATCATAACCATCATCATCAGGCTCTCCCGTGTTGGGATCACAGTCCCGGACCAGATATTTCATTGTACAGCTGAACGTGCAAGACACTAAGACAAATGCAAACAACAAAAATCATTATGGGAAACAACATCTATTTGTTGTTCAAATCTGCCCAAGCTAGAAAACTTGACATCACAATGTGAATCAATCATGTCAGACCTGCTGTGGGGTCATCCTCTGGTAACCGGACCAGACTGTAGCAGGAGCCGGGTTGGTTGTAGGGGAGACTTGGTGCAGGTACGTAATGTAGCACCTCGTATGCCTCCGATGGCTCCATCTGGACCAAAACCCGCTGCAGCAGCTGGTCGTTCAGCGTGTTGGTGCAGTCGAACTGGAAGATCATGTGATTTGCGAAAGTGTGTTTGATACAGCGCACCACATACTCCGTCTCTGCTTCTGTTAACTGAACTGGCTCGGACGACTTGAACAGGAGACCCAGGCCCTGGAATTCTGGGATGACTGCAAGTTGCTCTGATGCAGAAAAATAAGGGGACTAGTTGAAATGTGGCACAGTTTGCTTCAGACTCTGGTTTAACAGTGCCCACATGCATTGTTTTGCTAATTAGCTAATCTTCTCACCTTGGTAAATGTCTTGACGGGAAGGTGCAAGCTTTTCAGGTAGTTTGCTTGTTGCCACAGGTGCGATTTCTGGCATGAAAGAGAAAAATGAAGTGAACTTGTGCAATTTGAGCAGTTTTGGTTAAGCTCTGCGATTTACACCAAACCAAGTTAAGACATAAGATGATTAGCATCCAAATTAAGAGGCCAAACAATGGTAGAATGTAAATGAATTATATTTTTTTTGAGCATGTTATTATGAAACTATTCTGCAATAGATTATGATGAGTAATGAAGTTATTGGCCTGCTGAAGCTCAGGTTCACACCTGTTTTCTGTTCGGTGATGGGTGCGGTGGCCAAGGGAACGGTCTTCATGTCAAATGGTTTCTCAGAGGGCTCCAGTGTGTACTGGTGAAGGGATTTCTCCAGTCCGGGAACAGATACGGACAGACCTGCAAACAAACCATTCAACAACCCTTGTTCACTCACATCAGCTAAATCAGATTAAATACAATATCAGATACAAGAAACCAACACTTAAACACAAACCCTCACCATTAAAGATGTAAGCGGCATTTAAGGCCTTCTGCTTTTGCTGAAGGACATTCATGTAGAATGTGGCTCGGTCTCTCACCTCATCATCACTGTCCATCATACACCTGTCAGACACACACAGTAAATTAGCACCTTAAAACATTTCCCTCTAGAAATGGGCAATAAGCAACATTATTATGACAATATGCATACATTCTGGTAGATATTAGATATTTTAATAGAAAAGTGGTTTAAAAAAAAACTATAAAAGTTAACTTAAAAAAATTAAATATATACTATTTTATTTTCCATATTTGAAACCAATTTAATCTAACCAAATAAACAAGAATTTTCACTTTTTGGGAAAAAATATATTTTGTTTTTTTTTACTCTCTCTGCTTTGCATAATTGTTTTTAATCCAATCAAATAAATTATTCAAATACATTTTTTTAAATCTCTTTTTTTTAGTATACATATATATATATATATATATATAGAGAGAGAGAGAGAGAGAGAGAGAAACCCACACACAGACAATCCTGCTGCTGAAGGCCTACCTCTTCATCAGAACCAAAACACTTGGCAGCAGGTCATCGTTTTGAGCTCCAAACTTGGCCAGCGCACTTACAGCAGCTTTGAAGAAAAATGTGAGAGGAGAGTCAGAGCAGAAGAATGCTTAAATGTCCTAAAGCTGCTCAGCTTAGTCTCTGGAATCAGATTAATTACAAATTATCAGCCCTGCTTAAATTTACTACTACTTGCAGTCGGACTGCAGTTAATTATTGGGACACGTGTGTGACGCTCAAAAAAAAAATGTACTACTGTATTGCAAACACAAGCTTCCTGAAATCTTACGATGGCACAAGCAGGTCTTTAAGCTCATTGCAAGGAGGTTAACGCATAGGTCAAAGGTCACGCTAGGGGTGTGCGATATTGACAAAAAATTATATCTTAATATTTTCTGGGATTTTATCGATAAAGATAATTAGACGATATTTTGCTGAGTGTGTTATTGTGCTGATATCTTAAGCACTGCCGTAGACAGCTGACTCCTAAAGTTTTTTATATTCTTCATAATATGTGTGGTGCAGGCACGTGCACAGGTAGGGCTCAACCTGTGCAGAGCACATGCCCTTTTTGCCCTTACACTCCGAAGTGCCCTTTTTTTGGTGATGGTGTTTTTTTTTTTTATATCTTCAAAATATTGGATAAGAAAAAATGAGTAGTACAAAAATAAAACAACGCCAATATTACAAAATATAACATTAAAAAGTGTATAAATCACTCGTTTTTCTAAAGAAACATTGTCAAACAGCGACACCAGTAGGTAAAGTTACAGCGGGAGTCCGAGTCTCTCTCACCTCCTCTGAGCCCATTGAGTTTTAACAGACCAACTAAAGCGTGCAGTGGGGGGGTAACAGAATGAATGGGGGAAAATCACGTGAGAGGAGGCAATGCCTCCATCACGATATGATTGGATATGACTGGTTATGTTCG